TTATACAGTATGTCTTCTGTATGATTCAACACACAAAAATAATACTGCCCTATCTTCTTTAATATTTTTCAAGATTTTATCCATGTTAGAATTTTAGAAGCAGAAAATTAAGGACCACCTTCACCAGCCCTCCTCCCACTCTGAGATTAGATTGCTAGAAAAGTCTTGGTGATGCCTTGGTTCTGAAGTATCTTCCCAAGGTGGTTTGTGTCATCTTTACTTTATATTCTGTTTAGCAACAACCAACTTCTTCTTGGTTTGGTTTGATTGTAATTTCCCTGGCACGTTCCCATTATGACTAGGTTTTATCTTGCTTGTATTTTGCTATTTCACTTTGTTCTAAATGAGTTTAAAACTTTTTCTGTTTCTTGGTTTTATTAGCAGAAAGGCAGAAATAATGAAGGGTGTTTTTGCTGTTAATGGACTAGAAACTGACTAGTTCTAATAAAATACTTTACAGGTTGACTTTTCTTATGCATCTATATAAATGTCTGACAGTTATCTTCTAAACAAATTGTTCAGACAATTTCAATCAAACAAAACAAATGAAACCAGGTAAAAGCTGGAATACTGACATTAAAGGACAATTTCCTGAGTCTTTTCTCACTGTGAGCTGCCATTTTTAATTTCTTGCCTACTCACGGCTCAGTCCATAGGATACCATGGGATCCTGTTATTCAGTCAGCAGATAGCTTCTCCATATTCCAATGGCACTAAGTCGTTTTGTTATAGATCAGAAAAAATATAAAAGTTTGCTTTCTGCTCTGATTATAAAGTTGTTTTTATGTTTCAGATATTCCAAAAAAGAAATGCTGGAGATGTTTGAGGCTCTATGTATTAATGTAAAACCAAACAGACAAACATATAAGACATGGGTAATCTTAGCTGCAGGAATCACCACCTGCAATTACAGTAAAGACTCTGGGGTGAAATCATATCACTCAAGGGAAGTGCATCTGCCTTAAGTTACTATTTATTTTCCCAATGCAAAATCAAGTTATTAAATCAAAGAGCCAAAGGCTGCTTTAAGAAGATAATCAAGTTATTTGAAAAATACATTTTGTTATTCCTTCATACTGTATGTATGGGTATCTGAAAGGGACAGAATTCAATGAAAGGCTAAAATTCACTATGTAAAATATGTGTTATAAAACTATTATTGAGCACATGAGTTATGTGAAACCCCCCAAAGTAATTCATCATGGGGATATTGTATATTACCAATATATCTGTAAGCTAATGATGAGCATCAGTGGCTGGAGCCATTATTAAAATTCAGCACTTTCTAGCTTATTCCTTATTTTGTTTCAATTTACAGAGTTTGCTAACATATAATTAAATCCTTACTATATAAAAAGATTTGTCCTACTATTTCCACAGCTGAAAAATAGTGTAGCGAATGAATCTTCCATTTTATTGTCTGAATATGTTTGATCTGGGAATTGTCAGGGCTGGATCATCACGCACAATCTGATATGAGCCAAGTCAAGAACATGAGCCATAGGTTGAATTATTCTGGCTAATTATCCTGGCTAAGAAAAAACAATCAAAGAATAAGCATTCTAATTTGTATTACTCAAAAGTTAACACAAAGGTATGGAATGATTATGCCTCGTATCCTGAAACTTTTTGTAGGATGGGGTACTGGCTTCTGGTACAGAATAAATTTAAAAATGTATGATTTTTTTCCCCTTTTCTGGTACTAATGGGATGACCCATTGTACCACAACTGTAGCTAAGAATGTTGTGCTATTGATTCAGATAAGATTATTTATTTAAAAATTACAGAATACATCATGTGTGCACTTTCCTGTGCTCTTGGTGTTCGGCCCATGACTCTGGTTTCACTATTGATAAAGTATATTTCTCAGTATTCCTCTTCTGGCATTAGGTTTTTTTAGCTTCAGCATCTGCCTATAAATTTGCTTGTTAAACATTTAAACCAGGAAGATTTTAGTTAAGTCAACACCTTTATTTGATTTAGTTTTCTATTATTTTATTTCTTTTGGCTTAACTATAGTTTTATTGTTCGCTATCTTGTATATTTTAAGTTAAACCATTTTATGATACCTGGGTTGACATAAATGCCATTATATTACCTATAAAATCCAAGAAGCTAATAAAATAAGCATTAAGGCCCATTTCAAGAAGGATGAAAGAAGGAATCTTTATCATAAAAGTAACTTGGTACCCAACATGATAAGAAATTAAGAAAACTAGAGTTGTAGTCTGGTATAGATATAGACACATCTAAAATTCTTTAAAGCAGCCACATATTCCTTTGGGATTGTATAGGAAAATATGGAGATGCTTTCAAGAGTTGTAAACAGGTGCTAGATTTGTGTCTCCGCTCTGAAACACCTTTTGGCATGGAATATGAAATGCTATATATTCTAAAAAATACACAATAGAAAGGGGACAAAGAAAGAATGATTGAAGTTACATTTTTTGCTAAAGTTGCTCACAAAGATACTCTTAATTATGAAGACTGAAACTGAGAAAGAGAAGCTGTTCATCTCCAATTATTAGACTACGCATCCCTTTATTAATTATCCCTGACAATTGATTATGCTCTCAGGGGCTGATCAACATTGTAGCCTGGCAGTACAATATCCATCAGCCCATAGATACAACTAAAAGATCTAGTCTTTACCTGAAATGGTTCTAGATGTGTGAAAATTAGGCATAGAGACCATGCAAAAGCAGCAGTTACCCATTATATCCTTTTGTTTGTTTTAAAGATATATTAATTTTATGACTCCAGTTAAGGAAATTTAGATAATAACAGCAGGATGCTGAAAACTTTTATTACCTTGTGTTTTTGTATGCAACTCTGTTCTTTTATTTCAGATGGTACTGTAGTGCCTACTTATGTCTACATGAGGAGGAAGCATAGAGTGTTGATAGCTAGGATGCATGCCAAGAGAAATCACTGGAATCTATGCTATCTAAAACTGTTTACACTTTTTGTAAATGCTTGCACATTCAAGACAAAACTAGTCTTCGTAACTGTATCTCTCCTGCCAAAATTGCCCTTGTTGCACCTCCTTAATCTTCCTTTGCTTGTGTTAATTTCTCTGTGTTTACGTTCACATCAGGAGCTGGCAACCATTTTGGCAAACATTCTGCAAGTGAAACTCAAAATACATGAAGTAGCTACCCTAGTATAGACTACTGTAAATGGCACAAATTCTTCCTCAGCATGCTTTGGAGAATTGTTGAGACAAAATTGTGCACAGTATTACAACGGCAAGACCCCAAACTGATTATATGTAATAGCCAGGTCTACAAGAATGATAAATATTGGACCCAAATTCTGTTCTAAGTATAGCCACAAAGCTTACTAAGGCTTACTTAAAGGGAAAAGGTGCATCTTATCATTCCCAATCTATTCTCTCTAGCAATAATGATGTATGACTTTTGCTTATTTTGAAAGCTTCCTTCTCATAATTCACCTTCACTTTTTTTACTTGTTTCTAGTAGGCACTGTGGTTTGGAAGATTTGTTTTTAGTTTTTGTTTTTTTTTTTAATTAAAAAGTCCATGTAACTGTAAGGGCCATAAAGTTGTTTTTTTAAATCAGCATAATTATTTTTCTCCTTACTGTATTGCAGCTGTTTAGATGTAAATACAGAGATTCATACACAGAATAACCACAGATGTACAGAGATGTACATAACTTTGGATTTTGGACAGAGATGGTGGAGATGGTTACCAGCATCAAATTCCTGGGTGTGCAGCTAATGAGTAGGCTGGCTTGGTCGCTCAGCAGTGAGAAACTGGTGAAGTGGGCACAGCAGTGCTTGCATTTTCTGCGTCACATGAGAAAAGTACATCTTCCTTCCCCTGTCCTGACCACTTTCTACAGGGTGACGATCGAGAGTATCCTGTCATACAGCATCACAGTCTGGTTTGGAAGCATCACTGCTTCAAACAGGAAGGCGGTGCAGAGAGTGGTGAGGATGGGCGAAAAGATCATTGGCAGTTCCCTCCCTCCCAACCAGGACATAGCACAGAAGTGCTTAAGCAGGTCCGTAAAATTATCTGGGACATTACACATCCTCTTTAAGACCTGTTTTCCTTGTTACCTTCTGGGAGGAGGCTTCGTGGTATCCATAGCAGAACATCCAGATTCAGCCATAGTTTCATTCCATACAGCATTAACCTTGTGAACTCTCAAGCTTCCTCCTTCCATTATATATTCAAGATGGACAGTATTTAATATTTATTTGCTATGTATATGTAGGGGTGTGGGTCTATACATATGTTGTACATAGTATGTTTAGGTGTGTGTCATGTATGTGTTTCACTTGAGAGCGGGCAACTAAATTTCATTTTTGATGTGTACCATTGTGCCCACAGTAAAAAAATGACAATAAAGGTTATCTTATCTTATCTTATCTTATCTATCTTATCTAGAATGCAAAAATAGGAACTAACAAAGGAGTTAGAAAAGAAGGATAGGTAGAATGCTTATCATTTAATAATAAACATGTTTATTGTTTACAGTTAGTATTACTGTGTCATAAGCTAGACAGTAAAGGATATACAGCATTACTACAACTGCAATTAAAAATAAACAATTAGGCAATTACTGTATATGGTATATAAAATGTAACAATCAGATAAATCAGGGGCTTAATAAAAGAATAAAGACTGGCAAATTCCCTTCCTACAAAACAGTCACTTGCAATTGGTGAAAAGCTCAAACAGCATGCAACCTATATTGATTCTTCTGACAAAAAGATTAATCCTGCATGTTCAGAACTGCAACTTTCCAATTTGTAATATACTAGGCAGGATGGTGGGCCCTTGATTTCTAATACAGGTAGACCTCAGCTTACGACCAAAATTGGGACCAGAAATTAATGATCGCAGTGCTTTGCTTAATAACCATGGCAAAAAGGGTGTGAAATCAAGAGGTCGTTAAGTGAATCACACTTGATTTCACACCCTTTTTTGCCATGGTTATTAAGCAAAGCACTGCGATCATTAAGTGAATCAAGCAGTTGTTAAGTGAATCCAGCTTCCCACCATTGTGTTTGCTCATTAGAAGCTGGCTGGGAAGGTCACAGTGACCCCGAGATATTGTAACCATCATAAATGCATGCCAGTTACCATGCACCCAAATTTTGGCCACGTTACCATTGAGATACTCCAATGGTTATAAGCGTAAGGACTGATCATAAGTCACTTTTTTCAGTGCCGTCAAAATTTTGAACATTTGCTAAAGGAATGGTTGTATGTCAATGACTACCTGTACAAGATTTTATCAGCATATGTAATAAGGACCTGTTGCATGTTTGATTGTTATCAGTAGAAAATACATTCTTCTCCCCTTCGTGTGACTCTATGAAGAACTGATGAAAACTCTGTGAGATATGCTGGCATGTAAAATAAAATCAACAAAACACAGTGAGTAGGAATACTTTGTACTGCTGAAGAATAGTGTCACTAAGTAATTATGAAGAGAAGGATGAATAAAAGATATTGAGAAGGCCAAGTGCACATGAGCTCTGCATCAGATTGTTGCAGCAATAACTTGTAGCCAAGATGTGTTTATTATGTGGTATATTGGCATTCTTCCGAGTTACAACCCAAGGGTGTGTCTGTGACTGGAAACTCATCATTCTTTATCACTCAGAGTTGTCATTCTTAATGTTTCATTACCTAAACAAAGAAACAAAATGACTATAGAAAGACAAAAAAGCAGTGGGAGCTGAAGTGAATTCCAACTTCCTATCATCTTCCCCATTGAATTTCCTTGTGGGACACACAGAGCATTTGAAACCTTCCTTCCTTTCTCTCTCCCTCTTTCCTCTTTCTTTCCTTCCACACGCCCGCCCTAGAATTCCTCCCTCCTGAGAATTCTCTTATTTATTTTGCATGTGGAAAGTCTGTAGGGAGAAAATCGGTGAGAAAGCAGCAGGAAGTTACAAATTCAAAGTCAGCAGGCAGTTAAGTGGCTGCTGCTAGGTGGAAGAGGGAGTGAGGGGATACATGAGAGGTGCATGGTTTTAGAAGGGTGTGTGGGTGGCACTAGAAATACGTGGGTCAGGGAGGGCACAAAGGTCGGTGGCTTAGGTCAGGAAGGGTACCTGGGGGTGCATGTTCTGCATGGGTCAGGGGGGCAAAGAGGGGGCCAGTGCAGGACAAGAAGGTACCTAGGGGTCATGGGGGTGTATGAGATGCCACACAGGATATGTGGGACGCATAGGGGGCAAGGCAAGTAAAGAGTGTGTGGGTGAGAGGTTCCACACCAGTCAGGAATGGGATATGGGAGACATGATGTGGTTGGGAGGAGTGCATGAGGATGCTTCAGAGTGTGCAAGCGGTGCCATGCAAGTAGGGAAGCATGTGGGGAATGGATGCCCAAGAGATGCTGCACAGGTCAGGGAAGGCACACGAGTAGCACAATTTGGGGAAGACTCATAGGGAATAGCATGGGGCAGGATGGGTGCATGTGGGTTCCTTCCTCTCTGTCCCCCACTTTCCTTCCCTTTCTAGCAGGCAGCTAAGTAACTGCTGGTGGATGCAGATGGGAGCAAGGGATTGCAAAATTGCCTGGGAAACTGTCACAGAACATTAAAAATGAAGCTCACATAATCACAGCAGCAGCAGAGCAACAACCTGTAGCTCTAAAGTAGGCACAATTTCCCAAAATTTCATTCCCTTAAGTGTCAATGGTCCCAGATTTTGGACACATTCTGAAAATTAAGATACCTTGGTTCAAAAACCCTTGCTCTGTGATACACTGTTTACCCAGTTAAAGGTCATGACAAGCATTTAGTAATATATAGATTAACTGATCCTCCTAAATTGGTATCAGCCAGATGTACTAGTGCTCTTTCAGTCATGAGGTTTTAAGAGTTCAATCCCACGATTCTGAGACAACTAGTTTGGGGAAGTCAGGATAATCCCATCTAATTTAGCAAGAAAAAATAGACTTATGGAAGTTTGCATTGTTATTAACAAATCATGGCACTACTATTGCTGTCTCTGAGCACACATGCAAAAAATCTTGGCTTCAGTCCTAGCCTGAAGATTTCACTTGGTCTATTATCTAAACTGTTTCCATCAAGTTCTTAAAATTGTGATGATCTAATTCATGTGTACACATAGATTGTAGAGACTCTGTGTAGAGAGTGTTTCACTATTCACTGAAAATGTGAATGCTGACTTGCACAAGGCACTGTAGCCCTTTAACATTCAAGTTCTGATGATTCTTCTGCCATTCAGGGTTAACCCGAAAGATGGCACTTTTAGTACTTCCCTCAGAGCTTTTATGAATAGATAAATAATATTTTATGAATAGTACATTTATAATTGCATAAATAGCTTATTTCATTACTTTGCTGCAGACTATGCATGCATGTTAGCCCTTTCACACAAGACAATAAAAGAGCACATAGCATTCTAATCATTATATAATAGCAAAAGCACTTAGACTTATATACCACTTCACAGTGCTTTACAGCCCTCTCTAAGCAGTTTACAGAGTCAGCGTATTGCCCCCAACAATCTGGGTCCTCATTTTACCGACCTCGGAAGAATGGAAGGTTGCGTCAACCTTGAGCCGGTGAAACTCAAACTGCCAAACTGCTGGCAGCCGGCAGTCAGTAGAAGTAGCCTGCAGTATTGCTTTCTAACCACTGTGCCACCAGGGCTCTTTCAGGCCATACAGCATTTGCTTGAGTAGGCACTGAAATATTTTTTTATTAATTTTATTTATTATAAAATAACATTTTATTATTGAGTCACCTGCCCTTTAATACAATCTAGCAGTGGAGTCATCAAAAGACTTCCCTGCTATCTTGACGAGGAGAATAGTAAGTCCAGCTTCTTTTAGTGCATGGTTATTACCATTCCTTGACCAAAGAGAGGATTCCATATCAATTCCAAAATGGGTCTGGATTGATATTCAGATCCATTTTACCCAGCAATAGTGGCACAGTGGTTAGAATGCAGTATTGCAGGTTAATTCTGCTGACTACCAACTGCCAGCATTTCCACAGTTGGATCCTGACCAACTCAAGGTTGACTCAGCCTTCCATCTTTCCGAGATTGGTAAAATGAGGACCCAAATTGTTGGGGACAATATGCCGACTCTGTAAACTGCTTAGAGAGGGCTGTAAAGCACTGTGAAGCGATATATAAGGAAGTCTATTGCTATTGCTGTTTTGGAATTTGTTCTGATTGTTGTTCGTGTGCAGTATTCTCTGATTACAGTTTTAGCTGAACAATACCCAGCAATTTTCAAAAGGAGTTCTACACGAGTGCATTTTCAAGCAGCAGAGTGATGACAGATGAAATTAAACACACTGTCATGAATGTTAAAAAAAAAATTAAACCTAATTTGCAAAGTTGTCAGAATTCTGCTCCCAGTCTGTGCAGATGACACAAAACTAAAGATGTCTGATTGCAGAACAGGAGATAATAATCCTGAAGTGCCTCCCTCTTTTGGAACTACTTCTAAGCCATTTCCTCCACTAAAACACACTTGTTACATAACCATGGTTGGAATACTTAAATATAATCATTTCAGACAAAAAGCTTTCGTGTATTCTTAGATTGCTACAATTAGTGTTACTCTAATGGAGCCTATCCCAGCCAGATACCATCTTGTTAAATTGGAAATCTCACATCTTAGAATTTCACATCTAAAGGGCTCCAGATTGATGAGGCCTTCTATGATGAAACCATTTCATATGAGCTTGGAAAAAATATGTGGTTTAAATTTTGTTGGGTTTTGCTTATGCATGACCAAATTGGATAGTTTTATAATAATAAGCATGAGGGTCTTTTGTGCATGAGCAAAAAGGTATATATGGTTGTCTTTTTTGTTCTTTATAATAACCTGGTGTAATAGACTGCAAGACAGTGATGGGTTCAAAACTATCTGGAGGTTTCACTGAAACCTTGGTTTTTGTATTCTTGTAAGAACTATATCCTCACAATTACATTATAGTATACTAATCTATTGCAATAGATGTGCAAATATCTCATGCATATTTTGGGAGTAACATTACTTTCTTTTTTTCTGTCAAGACAAAGGAATCTAAACTATTTCCAGATATTAAACCACTGTAACCTATGTCTATTCTATTTATATCTCCTATTTCCTTGAAAATTTGAGAACAAGGTTGTGTACATATTTATTACACTAGGTGAATCATAATCCTTGATGAGAACTGATGAATATGAAACTAATCATAAGCTTCACTCTAGGAATGACATTTGCAAGCTATAAGGGTGTGGTATAATCAAGCAAACCAATTTAACACATAAATGTGTTGGGTGGATCTAAAATTACTGCACACTATTATGGCACTTTTTTCTTTCACTTTTGCATTATTCTGCACTAATAAAAGCTGACAAAAGAAGCGCTACTTTTGTTATTTGACTGATGGGGATTATTAGTTACAGCAGAAGGTACTGTTAAGACAGTGTTTGTTCTGTATATTGGGTCTTGATGGCTTTGTCCAGTTTCCCCTGCTGCCCCAGTTGATTAGCGATCAGTTGAGTGATGGGCAATAACAGATCACTAGTCTTTGTTACCATCATAGAGACGGGAGAGAAGAGAAGGCTTTAAGCTCTGAACATCCACATTGTTTTGAAACCATCATGCAAATATCTTTCCTGCCTACTTCCAAACACCAAGAGAATGCAGAAGTCTCTATGAGCCAATTAGTGTTCTTTCTTAGGTGAACAATAAGTAAGCACAAACACTGAATAGTTATTCAGTGCATAGCACATTCCCTGAATTAGAAAGAAACCTAGGGATGCAAGAGTCTCCACTCCCAAAAAAGATAGGTAGGACCTCTTTTCCTAAAAATGGGGCATGGTATTTTGAGAAGGAAGAAAGGAAGGGAGGGAGGGAGGGAGGGAGGGAGGAAGGAAGGAAGGAAGGAAGGAAGGAAGGAAGGAAGGAAGGAAGGAAGGTTTTAAGTGCCCTGATATCATTCCTTTCTTACATTTAGCAATCTTTGAAGATTAAACAAGAATGTATTACTTTTGTAGCCAAGCATTTCCTTCAATCTGTCTAAGCTAATGGTTCTCAACCTTTTTAATGCCACGACCCCCAACCGGTCGTAAGTCGAGGACTACTCAACCAGTCGTAAGTCGAGGACTACTCAACTGGTGCAGCATCATTTGCAGAATGGGACTTTTGGCGGGCTCAGCAGGGCAGAGACAGCCTGGACAACTCCTATTGGCTTTTTTTTTATTATTGAAAGTTTTTAAAATTTTACAAAAAAAAAAAGATTCCCCTCCCCAAACCCTCCCAACCCACCCCAACCCTCCCCCAACCTTCCCAGAGCTGAATACAGGCTTAGTTGAAACTTAAAAGAAAAAATTTTAAACACTTGTAAACCATAAACAATTAATTACAATAATTAAACAAATTATAAAATACTTTAAGACCAATATATAAAAAGCAAAAAAGATTGTGATTACAATCATTAAACACATTATAAAATACTCTAAACATTTTCTAATGTCATACTTATATTATTTAAAATTTATCTATCATTCTTTATAAACACCCTCAAAAAAAACACACATATAAACATTACTTATAACATTGAAATTCCCTTATTCATATTTAAAGCAAAATATTCCTTTAAATGCTCCTTAGATATCTAAACATAAACTACCTATCTAAAATTTTCATTCAATCTCCATAATATCATACTTATGTTATATAAAATCTAATCTCTCTCTCTTTCTTTATCATCAAACACAAAAATAAACATATAAACGTTAATTATACCATTAAAACAAAATACTCTTTTGAATACTCCTTAAATTACTAAACTTAAACTTCTTATCTAAAATTTTCATTCAATCTCCATAATCTTCTCTCCTCTTTACCAATAACCAATTCCATCCACAGTGAACTGTAATCTATCAATGACCTGAAAACAATCTATACATTCTTTATCAATCTCTCTTATCCAAAAACCTCAAAAGAAGTGCTTGGAAATCTGCCCTTAAAGGTTGCTCCAAAAAGTTTATAGATCTTGCTTCTCCCGCAGACTCAGAAACAGATACTTGTGAGGCTTCCTTAACCTCCTTCTGTTGCTCCTTTTCTTTGCGTTTATGTGTTACACGGGTTATCCTCTGCTCCTTCATCTCAACTTGTTGAGGCCCCTCAATCTGAAATTTCCCAGTTTTCATCAATATAGGCTCTTCAGACTGCAATTCTGCCTTCTTCTCTTCCGAAGCTTTAGACATGATAGGTGGCGATATACATACCCCCAGGACCGAAGTGTAAAACTCTTTTGCTTTGGAAACAGTATTAAGTCTATAACGTGTCCCCAGATAATTCACCACCATTCCAGTCGGGACGTCGCATCTAAACAACATTCGCCTCTTTTTAAGTTCATCTGCTAAAAAAGCAAACTCCTTTCTTCTTCTTAAAATTTTAGATGGGATCTCCTTTAAAATTATAACGTCTTGTGAAGCAATCTGAAACCTCTTATTATAAAAAGCTTGTATAATTTCATTGCGCAGGGATCTTTTCCCAAAATAAATTACCACATCTCTTGGCAGATTTCTTTGCTTTGCCACCACAGAGTTAACTCTAAATGTTTTTTCAATTTCACTAAATATTTCCTCTTTTTCTCTGTCCAGAATCACAGCAAAGTCATTTGCAATCATCTGTCTCAGATCTCCTTGCAGAGACTCTCTCAAGCCTCTAATTCTTAAAGCATATTCCATTTCTCTATATTGAAGCATAAGAATCTCATCTTGAAAATTTTCCATCTCTTTTTCCATGCCTTCAAATTTTCCCTCCAACAGCTCCACTTTGTCTGTAACCTCTTCTACACGAAAGTTCAACTTTTCAAGAACAGAGGCAAATCCTTTTAAAGCCAAAACTATATCTTGCCTCAGAATCCTATTATTTTCCACTAAAATCTCTTTCACTTCTCCCCTGATTTGAGATATAGCATTTCCCATTATATCTTGCAAATCCTTTACCGTTAATAACTGTGCCAAAGGAGAGGGTGAAACTATTGATTTAGATTGTTGCACTGATGATATCACCGAAGAAGAAACCACCTTAGAAGCTGTGGGAATTACTGGACGCTTTGGAGCCATCTTAGAAAATCTTTACTCCTTCTTAAAAATTACCCAAAAAAAGGAGGGAAAGAAAAGTTAAAAAAAAAGGAAGATTAACTCCAAAAAATCAAAAACTCCTTCAAAAGGAGATCATTATAATAAAAGGAAAAAAGTTAAGAAAAAGAAGGAAAAGGAAAGAGAAAGAAAAAAATAATTAAATAGAAAAAATTCGTTCCGTTATTTTTTTTAAAGTACAAAAAACAAAGAAAATCCTTCAAAAAATAAAAAAAAAAATTAAACAGAAAGGGAAAATAATCCTCCTAAAATCCAAACCCAACATCAAAAAATCATTATAAATAATTAAATCCGTTCCATTCCATTCCAGTCATTTAAAAAAAAAAGAGAGAAACACCAAAAAACCTACCAATCGCCATTTTACTTTCCCTTTCAACAAAAGAAGAAAACAAAATAGGGAGTAAAAGTAAATCTTTAAATTCAAAATCCAGATAAGATCAGAGAAAACAAAATCCTCTACTCAGCTCTGTCCGCTTTTTAAAAAAAACTCACCAGATCACTTTAATCGCGGAGGTGGTTGCAGCGGCTTGTTTTGTCCCTAGAGACAAAGACAGCTGGGAAGCAGAGACAATCTGAACTCCGTGGGAGCACTCTTTTCACCCCCCAAAAGAAAACCCTGGGGGTGCATAAGAGGCTCTACCACTATTCAGATGATACTCTCCTCTTCCCCCTTGCCCGGGAGGGAGGTTTTGAACTGCAGAACAGCTGGTGTCTGCTGTTCATAGCGGTTCTAACACTTTCCCAGGAGGACGGCTACAAAGTAGCCACCATCGCGCGCGCAGATCCACCGGAAGAACTCCTATTGGCTTTTGAAAGCCAATAGAATTAGACTCTATTCAAGAGAGTCTATTCTATTGGCTTTCAAAAGCCAATAGAATAAAAGGAAAAGGGGAAAAAATGGCGGACTGCGTTGTTTGGCGACCCCCGGGAAGTGGTCGTTCGACCCCAAATGGGGTCCCGACCCACAAGTTGAGAACCACTGGTCTAAGCGATATGGTGTAAGAGAGGCTTCAAGAATAAGAGGATGGAACTTGGTTGATGGAAGAGCAAAAGGAAAACATTAATGTTTGTTTGATCCCAGGATATGGGACAAGGTAGGAATTCCCACTAATAAAACCTTAAACCACCCACAAGCTCTATTTAGGTAAGGGAAAAAAATTAAACATTGCCTGGTTTTGAAATGAATCAGCCCAAATGTAGAAAAAAAAAAGAACCCCCCAATTCAGCTCTAAAAAGAAAAAGGTGATGTTGAGCAGTGAGGTAGCGCTAAAATCACCTTCAAACTGACTCAACTGTTCAAAAATGCTTAGTCTTCTCATGCTTTTCATAATGACTTAAACTCAGAAAATTGGGTTAATTTTCTTAAAATTATCATTTTTGTGAGAAAGAGGTATTCTTACATTTTAGTATTCATGACTTCTCGGTGACATCTGAAAATGCCATGTACCATTCCCTGAGTATGAAAGGCTTATGATATCTATCTTCTGATACAGTTTGGTTGCATTTCCTGAAGGAAATGGAAAATTGAGTACGTTAGGTTGTAGCATTTATTTACCAATTCATATTCAAATCTCAAGTTGGGCACGTATTGTTTCAGAATACATATTGAACTCAGTTAAGCTAGTAAGTAATACTGTACAGCAGGGGTAGTCAACCTTGGCTCTTTTATGACTCGTGGACTTCAACTCCCAGAATTCCTGAGCCAGCATGGCTGGCTCAGGAATTCTTGTAGTTGAAGTCCACAAGTCATAAAAGAGCCAAGGTTGACTACCCCTGCTGTAAAGCATGGCATCAAAAACAAGTTAGTGAAGTATTTGACAAAGGAGGCTATCTTTCCTGATCTTGAAAAGATAAACATAGGTAGTTCTCGACTTACGACCACAATTGAGCCCACAATTTTTGTTGCTAAGTGAGACATTTGTTAACTGAGTTGTCCCCCCATTTTACAACCTTTCTTGCCACAGTTGTTAAGAGAATCACTGCATTTGTTAAATTAGTCATGATAGTTCAATGAATTTGGCTTCCCCGTTGACTTTGCTTATCAGACGGTCGTAAAAGGGGAATCACATGACCCCAGGACACTGCATAAATATGAGTCAGGGGAAAGGGGAAATGGGCGAGCAACACCAAAATTTTATGTGTATGTATTCATTTTACTTTATTAAAAGTATCTGATAGATAAGAATGAAAAAAAAATGTATGTTAACACGTGATAAAATATCACGGTATATTTGTTGATATGTATGGGGAGAGTTGGGAAAAATAAAAAAGTTCTTCAAGACATAAATATGAGTCAGTTGCCAAGCATCTAAATTTTGATCACATGACCATGGGGAGGCTGCAACGGTCATAAGTGTGAAAAACAATCATAAGACACTTTTTTCAGTGATATTGCAACTTCGAACAGTCCCTAAATGAATTGTCGTAAGTCAAGGACTACCTGCATATGAATGATTTTGCTCTCAGTTTAAAACTTCTCACAGAGAATATGTCATTGCTTACCAGTAAAGAAATTAGTCCTTTTCAAAGCTCCATAACATGTTTGGGGGAAAAGTTTATCTAAACTATTTGAAGAGCATTTCTTTAAAAACAAAACTAAGAACATAATTTTATTTGGATCATAGCCTCATAAAATACCACGCAGGTGAGATTTTTCAATCAATAATAACATAAAACCACAATTTAGATTTTTTGGTAATATTCATATACTGTTAATCTCTGTTTTATCTAATATTTTGGAATTATAATTTTCAAGGAAAAATATTTTATAATAACAGAATAAAAATTACGTGCAGCACAATCTCAGTTTGAAGGTAAAATGAACCAGATATTTTTCAGTGCCGATTTACCCAAGTATGCTGGTATATTCTTTTGCTATGATTTTACTTGATCTATGGCATATTTGAAATTGTATGCTAATTTGACTAGATGTTCTATTAACAAGTTAAAATTATCAACCAATCAATTTTTTTAGGGGAAGAACAAATAATGAATTTCTCTTTCCACATAAAGTTATATCATGGACTGAAGTGCTAGGAGTGTCATTATATATTCATGCTAAATAAACCAGGATTCAACAATTTGATATCCACAATATTACTAAATAGCACTCATTGGACACCAACATTAATTTTTAAATAAAATTTAAGAGGCCCAGATCTTAAAAGATTCCCAGTGCTTATGCATAAGATCCTTGAAAAAAAATAGCCAAAATCCAGGAAGATCTTGGGATAAGTTATATTCTTATTTTTTTTTTTTTGGTACACTCACAGGGAGATATTACCAACAAAACAGGCTAAAGGAGATTAACAATAAAGGAAAGAAATAATTTGAAAAAAGCATCTTATTACTTAGGTAATTCCAGCGTACATGTACCATCCAAAATAATAAAATATTAAAATGTTGAACTCTTCTCAATACTGATGGAATTGTTAATATGCACAGTGTAAATGTTTACTTCATTAGTTGCTTTGCTATTTTGAAGCATATTAAGCTTTGAAAGACTGTTCTGTGAAATGGTAATAGAATTTATTTCCACTTGCAGTAGCGTGTTTAAATCTAAAGTAAACTTAACTGACTCTATTTCAACTTTGATATGTGACTTTCAACAAAAAGTCAAGAAGAGAATATTATAACACAGTTTGTTCATTTGTAGACTCTTAAAATGTGTAAAAGATAAAAAAAAAATGCTTGGAGGTTAATTAATATGAGTATTAGCCAAAAGTGAAAATGTTTTAATGAAATTGAAACCGGCTACCATGCTGTTGTAATTGTTTTCTAATGTTATAGGGAAATTGCTTCACCAAATTATCTGATGGTTCTTCAGATCATTTGCTGCAAAATTCTGCCTAGCTACAGAGAAAATTGAGGAATCAATGAACATTACGGATGAACTATATAGGCTTATGAACATTTAAAACTCAGGACTGAAATCAGCTTAAGTGTAATTTAATCCTTTTATTTAAAACTTGATTGAGTATTATGAGACTAGTAATTCCACAAATATAGAAGAGTCCAGGTTAGGGAAGGCTTAATAATGAAGAAAGTAATAAATTTTTAGTAGAAAGAACAGGGTTCAAACTTCTAGACAAGCATTAATTTACACATATGGCCTTTAACAGTTATATGGTGTTTTTAGCTTAATTTAGCTTAATTTACATTATGGCTTGGAGAAAATGTCATAATCTCATTTAGTTTGGATTAATAATGCAAAAGGAATTAAATGGGGAGAAAGAAATCCTTAAAATTATCAAGTAAATCACAATACCACAAATGGGTAACGGAATTGTGATGTTTGATCAGTGATGTCATTTTCTAGCTCCATTTTAGTCTGACTTCTGGACTGGCTTTGGAACAGAAGCTGCTGTCGTCAGCCACTATGATCTTTCCTTACATAAAAAGAGTTTTTGTGGCGAATAGAATAGAGTAGAGTGGAGTGGAGTGGAGTGGAGTAGAGTAGAGTAGAGTAGAGTAGAATAGAAAGAATAGAATACTTTATTGGCCAAGTGTTATTGGACACAGAAGGAATTTGTCTCCAGTGGATAAACTGTCAATATACATACAACAACAAAGTAATATAATCATAAGATACCAATAGGAGAAAGTAGTAGAAAAGATGAGCCTATCCCAGCTTTTTTTTTTTTTTTTTTGCCTTCAAACTGATGTATACTGTAAACTGCAGCTGTGTATGGCAAGAATAGTGTATTATCAGTTATGCATGCTGTGAGATTACAATCTGTTCTATGTGGATTACTTTTAAAGGCAGTATGGAATTTTCAGACTGTCAAAAAGGAGCTGCAAGGTAGCTAACTATGACTGGACCATACGAGGCCAGTACTTTGTCATCTACACTAGTTGCTTGTCTATTTTCAGGTCCCAAATGCTGTAATGTATTGTTTCTTTAAGGCAGTTGTAACTATAGTGATTGTGACTTAGGAAATGCACAAATATAAATTAACTTCTTGGCTTTTTACCAAAAAGTTTGCTGCTTAGCTATTCCCTTTCGTTCTTGTCCTTCAGGCCTTGATCATAAAAAATTATCTTGAGAAGACTTTAATGCTTCAGGCTTCTTTCATATTTGAGGAAGCAATAAACTTCATTGTGTTGTCTTCCCAAGCCCTGGGTGGCTTGGGGTCAAAATATCTCAAGATTACTTTCATCCATCTGCCATCCTCCAAGGATTTCCTCTGGATATTGCAGCCAGCTGAAGTGGGGTGAGAGCTTTCCAAAGGCATCTCAACTACAGGGCCCAATTACAGAATATTCTCCCAAGGCAAGGGTATTATTTCCATGCAATTTCAATAGTGTGGTACTCAGTGGGATGTTAAGTGGCCCACTCTGTACTAGGCCAATGTATTACATAAAGAGTTCGGTACTGTAATGTCATGAACTTTCCCAAAAACTTCAGTTACTAGAAATTATGTCATAACTGATTGACATTAGGGGAAAAGCATCCAAACATTTGTGTCAGTTCTCTACATCATGAGCTATACACTAGCATTAAAAAGAAAAAAGAAAAGTGGTCATGAAGCCTGATTTTAAAAAAATAAAAATGAATATGATTGGTTCATTTAAAGGTTCACATTTAATGTCTAGGCAGTATAAATGCAAATAAACCTATCAGGTTATGAGCAAAATCCCAGAGAACCTCTTCATGTACTGCTGCATGAGTGCTGAAAAGAGGTAATATATGCATTGGAACACAAGCTGTGTTGATTGGACATCCTTCTCCAGTTGAAGCTCCATCTGAAAATCAGGCCGTCATTCCGAGTTATGCTCCCTTATCTCCCCTCAACAGCAATCTATACCTTTGAGTCTTACCTATTCATTGAATGGTGCTCATGGAAGTTTATAACAGTGAAGTATAAATTAAATACATCCCAGAAATCATAACATGAAACATGTTACCAGAGTGATGATATGTAGCACTTGGGACTTTATTTCAAAGCACATCCTTTAGGGATAACTACATGGGTAGATAGGCAGGATATTATGGTGGTTATGGTAGTTCTCCTTTTCATCAGCACGGTTGGTGTTGGCAGGGGGGGAGAGGTCAAACCTTCAGACCCTTACTTGTGGGAGTAACTTGGGTTCCAACAGTCTTACCTCTCCTGAGGTCATCTACATGACATTGCTGAGTGAGATAATGTACTGGCACAGGGTCTAATACAGGGGTAGGCAATCTTGGCTCTTTTATGACTCATGGACTTCAACTCCACGAGTCATAAAAGAGCCAAGGTTGCCTACTCCTGGTCTAATAGCATCTGTATACAAATGGTATTCAGTTGTACATCTCATCTATGGGCCAATCAAACAATGCTATCAAGGTCATGTTCCAATGGCTGGAAGCTGCAAAAGATGAGGAGGAGCAGGCTTAAATTCAATACTGATAAGGTGGCATGCCAACTTCCCTGGAATCAGAGATATGCCATCTTTAGTTCTAGATGGGCTACTTTAAACAGTACTAGTGCACAATTTTAATTCTCAGTCCAGCTTGAAAATCAGTTA